ATCAGTGAGCTATATACTTAGGGTATGTGCCCGTGACACAAGGAAATTTCAACCAAAAGTTTTTATAAAGTTAAAAACAAAGAAAAGAGAAAGCTGAAGTGTGCCCCTTGAAAGCACGCTGCAGGGACATCAGTTATGACGTCCCCACAGAGTCAGCACAGCACCAGGCCCATGGAGTGCGATGCAGCAGGAATAGGCTGGGCCAGGTGGGGTGATGGGTCACTCTTCACCCTAAGCCAGGAGGGACAGAACCCTCTAACCCTCCTGTGCACCTCACCCCTCTCTCCTGGTGGGCTTCCCTCAGCCTGATGGGAGCACCCAGGCCTGCAGCTCAGAATGTGGACCCAGGGGAGAACTGCATCCCCAGCTACCCCTGAAGCAAATGAAAAAATATAGACGAAAAATGTGCTTGTGGTTCTGTCACTGGGATATGCAAATAAAATATATATGATAGGCCTATCTGCCTAATATTCCTGCCAATTCATTCTCTGGGTGTGATTAAAATGAGCAATAAATTCCTGGTGAGTCTCGGCGGAATGAAGATCCGGGAGTGGAGATGCGGGCTGGCACCAGCACGTCCCCCTCAGCTGAATATTCATCATGGACTAGCTCCCCATATTTTTGTTTTATCTGCCATCATGTGTACAGAGATATATTTCTACCTCTCCTTCGTCTCTTAGTTAAGACATGAAAATGGTCTAAGCTTTAAGTAGTAAATTCTCCATCTAGTGAAATCCTTCAAAGTGAGATCACAGGCTACCTCCTTTACAAAGCCTGCCTGCTCACTCTGCCTGGAGATGAGCCATGCCTTCCCGAAGCCCCCCAAACTCTGTGTGGATCTTTTTTTTTTTTTTTTGTGTGTGGACCTTTTTGAAGGCACAAATCAGTGTGAGCTAAGAGAACCTGCCTCTTGCTACCCCTTCCCAGATGGCTGGCTCAGTGGACAGAGGCTGGGCCTCATCCATTGCTGGATCTTCTCAGGGGGGGCCCAAGGAAGCTTCCACACAAAGAGAATGCTGAAAGAACTGAGCTTTAATCACAACCATCAGTGAGGAGAAAATCATTTAGACCATATAAGAGGTCAGAGATTCTTAGATTAGGAATACATTTGAAAAGGCAGAATGAAATAAAAAATGAGGGTTATGGATAATATTAAAAAGGGAAAATCACCAATAAATAGTATGAAGTGAAGAAAAGGAGATTCCAGTATGGAACTAGGATCATGAACACCTTCAGGGTGAAGTAGGAAATATAAATGACTAAGAAGTCAAGAACGTAATACAGTAAGTAATGGGGTCGGGAAAGTTTATGTTCCAAACCCTAAGGCTTTTTTTTTTTTTTTTTTTTTCTTTTTTAAATTTTTTTTTTTTTTTTTTTAATAGAGGCATGTTTTTATTTATTTATTTATTTATTTGTTTGTTTTGTTTATACATGCACTGGGTACAGTCAGAAGCGCAGGAGGGTGAGAGAATTCACCAGAGCCAGAGCAGGGAGTAGAGCAGGCAGAAGGACCGAAGTACACTGCTGAGGGGAGCAGCGGGCGGCAGGAGAGGTCTGCACGCCATGTGGGACCCTCCTCCGGTGGCCGGGGAGCAGCCGGGGATTGAACCAGCGCCGCAGAGGCCGCGGGCAGCTTCGCAACCCAGGGCTCTACCGCTGCACCACCGGGGAGGCCCAAACCCTAAGGCTTTTTGACATTTTTAAAAAAACTCTGGGTTGGCAAAATAAAATTGACTGCCAGTTTGAGACTCCTGATATATACAATAGGTTATAAAAAGGCCATCATAAAGGCCATATCAACATAAATATATTGATATGCTCCAGAAAAGGCAAATATAGTATCACAAGAGGAGATGGACAATTCTTATCCCAAAGTTACTTTTTTTTTTTAAAGATTTATTTATTTATGCATACAAGAACTGGGGCACAGGCCAGAGATGTGGGGGATGAGAGGATTCACTAGAGACAGAATGGGGAACAGAACAGGCAGACTGACTGAAATACACTGCTGAGGGGAGCAGCGGACGAGTCAGGAGAAGTCTGTCTCACCATGTGGGTTGCTCCCTGGCGGGCCGGGGACCGAACTCTTGCTGCAGAAGCTTTGGATTGCTTCATAGCGTGGTGCTTAACCCACTGCACCACCAGGGAGGCCCCCAATAGTTACTTATAACAGCTCAATTTTCTTTTAAGTTACCTGCTTGCTTGCTTTTTTTTTTCAATTTCCCCATATGTAAACTGCTGTTAATAAGAGCTACTTGGTAGATTTGTCAGGGTTAGGAAAAATATACAGTAGAGCACCTGATGCATTCAAGAAGTGGTACCTACTATTATTATAAATGATTAAAAGTATTAATAGCAGTTACATACGAGATTTAACTGAGATTCAGTCCAGACGACATCTCTTCCAGGAAGGCTGCCTTGATCTCCGAGGCAGGATTAAAAGCCTCCTCTGGCTTTCCACAGACCCTGGACGTCCCTGGGACTGATGAGACAGTGATGTCATGGTTCATTTGCCTGTGTCCTCATCAGACCTGAGCTGCTTGAGAGTTACATCCACCCATCTTCTTCCCATCTATCCCAAAGCCTGGCACACTGATGTCATTCATAAATGTGTATTGAATTACTTAATTCTCTTCATTTTACTTTTATCCCCAATTTTTTATGAGACATATAACTTTTATAATCACAGATTTTCTATACTGAGCACATACATGACTGCAGAATGGTAGATGAAGACAGAGAAGGCTGAATTTGGTGGGAGGGGGATGCTGGACAGATAGAGGGAGCAAAAGATAAGATCAGGATGGTGGTGACCCATGGCTAGACGAGGTCTCAGGCTTGAGCCCCAGCATCCTCTAGGCCTAAGTGATTGTTATAGATGTAGGGCCTGAACTCAGAGAGGAGCAACTGCTGCTTAAGTACTAGCAGAGGGAGACAGAAATCATGCCTAAAGCAGTGTTCTCCCATGAAATTCTGCATCATAATTTTGAGGAGAGGTTTTTGCAACTTAGGGAAAAAAAGCAGAAAAGGAAGAATGGGTGACCAAGTAGATGCTGAGCAACCGAGAAAAAGACAACGCTGCTGACATAGGGAGAGCTGAGGGATGGCTCCCATGGGTAGAATCTGGAGGGACAGCAGAGCAATCAGGCAGAGATGCTCACTGGCCAGTTGGGACATTCCAGGCGGAGGAAGTCTTAGAACACATGAGGGGAATCAACAGCAGAAAGGTGACATCAGAGAAAGGTGACATCCCCCAGCTGAGAGGCTACAGAAGTCCTGGGCTGGCTCTAAGTGGTCTTCCAGCCTGTAAAGGTGACCCTTTCCACTGTCTGACAGCTCTGTCAGGGAGCTCCTCCCGGCAGTGGCCAACCTCAGAAACACCATTCCCTCTCACAGCTGTTCCTGAGTTTACCCACAGTCTCTTTCCTCTGGGCCCTACTGCCTCAGCTTGTTCTCATGACACAGTGCTCCCTCACTGCCTCCTCTTCAGAGCTTCCAAGGCTCCATATCTACTCAGAAGGTAGTGTCTGCAATTGTCCTCTGTGGTCCAGAAGGGTATGTCTGGAACAGAGGAATGCAACTGCCATCGAGTCACTTGGGACAGAACCTTGTATAATATGGCCAACGTCTAGCCACTTCTCAGGCAAATTTTTTAAGGGTTTTTTAGCAGTCCTGACCATATCATATCACAGAGGTAATCTGAGCTCAAGAGTGGAGGTATGAGCCCCAGTGTGCCTAGTCAGTGAATGGTAAACTGGGATCAGAACCCACATCTTGTCTGTCTTCGTCAGTGACCAGAGTATTCTTACTTAAGATACAGAATATTTGCCACTAGGTGGGACCTGCCACACCAATCATCTTAACACGTTTCAGCCAATTTGCCAACAAGCGACTCCATGACGCTGGAAAGAACACAGACCGGGAGTAGGAAACCAGGTCCTCAAGTCCCTGTTCTGCCATGGGAACTACCGTGTTCAAGTCTGTTAGTTTCAGTTTTGATACCAACTCAATTGGGCCAAAAGCCACATCACATCCCAAACTCATCTCCTCAGGAGTAAAACAAGTCAGCTGATTAGGTTTCAGAGATTTAAAATGTGCATCCCTTAGCAGAGCCGGCTCTGAGGCTGCTCAGGAGGGCAGAGGCAGGCCAGTGGGTGGGGCCCTTGTCTACCTCTCCTTCAACAATAATAGCTCTATTTTGCTCTGACTTATTTGTTTTGGTAAGATTCCCACCATTGGACTTGATGATTTCTGAGGTCCCTGCCAGCTGAAATTTGGGTTTAGTTCTTGGGTTTTGCCAAATCATTCCATGGCTGGGAGGAGCAGAAGGCAGGGGAGTTCAAAAGTTTGGGTTGAATTTTTTTTGCAGGGTAAAAGTCAAAAGATTGAGTCAGCCTCAAGACATGAGCTGATGTTATATATTGTATGGGGGTTCCCTGCTGGCAAATTGGCCCAGCCCTGTCATTTTGGTCACAAAAACAAAACAAAACAAAATAAACCAGGACAGTTTTCTTTAAAAAAAACAAAAAAAAAAAAACTAGTTTGGGTTGAGATGCTCAGAATAAGGTGGAGATTTTGGGCTCAGTCTCTGTATGGAGTGTGTGTGGAAGGGCAGGAAAGGGGATGGCTCTAGAGGGAGTGATGATGGGAAGGACTGCTTGCTAAGGCTGCAGAACACATGAGGCTGAGCAGAAATAGTACTTGGGCCAAAGATTGTTTTGCTAGTCCCCTCTACTACAAAAAAGGAGCTAGGAAGCCCATCACCTCAAAAACTGAATTTGAAGGATAAACCTCAGAATCTAGAATGGCAAAGGTCTCTTTCTGGTCACGTCAGGGGCAACTTCCTATTCTTGATGAAATCGGGGGTTGGATTTGTATTTAAACGGACAATAATCACCTCAGGAGAAGTGGCCTTTGGTGTGGAGCCTGACCTAATTTAATGAGTGAAAGATTAAATGCTGCATGGAGTGCCCATAGGCCCTCTCCTTTCTGAGACTTACCTTGGCTTCAGAAGTCCTTAGAATTTTCATCACCTCGCCTTCTCGGGCATAATCCAAGGGTGTGTGTCCCATTTCATTCCTCTGCAGGGGGTTGGCTCCTGGCAGAAGAAGCAGAAATAGAGGCTCTATGAGTGATTGGTGGGACCTCAGCCATCCCCTAGAAATGACCTGGGTCATCATTTAGTGTGAGAAAAGCCCATGGAAACATGGAGCAACACAAACCTAAGAGGTTGCAAAATGGTGGGAAAATATGTCAAATTACACTGAGGGAGAGCTACATTTCTGACAAAGAGGTCAGCGTGTTGGGATTCTTACATGTGCATGTACACATCTGGAGAAACACTGTCCATGTAGAGGGCCCCCCTCCACGTAGATGTGTTACATACACAGTGTGCTATGCATGCACACACATGAACATGCTAACAAAGATACCAAACACACTCATAGAGTAACATACCCCAACACTGTTGCATTATTCATTAAAATGCCCACATCTAACATTTATATAAGGTGAATATTCCTTTATTTGTTATATGAAGGGGCTCCTTTCTCAAGCACACAATATCCTAAGTAACAACAAAAGACCTTCAAAGTGCTCTTTGATCCTCTCTCTGCTTTAATACCTCTTCTTTCTGGGCATTTCCTGCAGAATTAGCTGAGTCCTCTGGAGACATGGGTACCACCAGCACCCTGGCTGTGCCAACCCCATAGTTTGATGCCCTTACCAATGCTAGTTATGGGTGAGTGTGTACATGTGGGTAGGCATTTCCTCTCATCATCAACTCCTGTGATTTAAGGACAAAGAATTTCAAGTATGACAAGAAGAAGGGCTTGCTGGGGGCTATTTACCTTCTTCAGCTTGTGAATGCCAGTGCTGATGAAACTGTATAAAGTCTATTTTGCACAAAGCCTGTGGAGGAAGAAAAGAGGAAAACTACTGCGTTCCATGCTGTTAGGTCTGAGTACCTCCACTTTCCTCTCCAAAAACTGCCCAGTCCATTCAACTTGGCAAACTTAGTATGAGTCTGGCCTGGGGACAAAGAAGAATCTATCTGGCCCTACCCCAAAGGCATTTCTCTCAAGGCAGCAAGACAGAAATAGAAGAAAGCTGTACCCTGAAAACAGTAGATGCACAAGAAAGTAAAGGAGGGTCAAGACTCAGGCCCTGCTATAAGGATGGGATGGGCTGGCTGTGGACACTAAATACACAGGCAATACAGTATTAGTGCAGGGCCTGGCTTGGGAAGAGTGGCAGGGGAGCGGTGTCTGCTGATGGACAGTAAAAATTAGTCTTTCTTAATCTCAGGCTGTGTAAACATTCATTTACTTCACTATATAAACCATTCCTATTGACACTCTGCCTAAAGGCCCACCTATTAACTTATCAACAATAGGAAGCATTTATTAAGCATTTATACCTGGCTGGCTGCCTGGACTGTGATGAATGAAGTATGGGAGGAGGAGGGGAAGGGATAGATAGTGGGAAATATGATCCATGTCAAGGAAACTTATCATCAATATGAAGAAATTAATATGTTTGTATATGAGCTTATTTTCTAATAGGAATCTGGTATAAAATATCAGTTTTTTATTGAAAAAGAATTAATTCAACCTTTTATTATTTTAAGGCTATTTTCTTCACTGTAGTAACACTACATCATAACATTTTATAAATTTAGGTTTTCATTGTTGAGAGTCAACATATGTAAACACCACATTAGGTTCACCACTAAAAGTCCAAATTTATCCTTCCCCCATACCACTGTCCCCTTTCCCCGACTACCCACCCCCACCAAAACTCAACTTCCTAAGTGTATAATTCAGTAGCTTTCAGCATACTTACAAGGTTGTACAACCATCACCATTATCTAATTCAAGATAATTTGCATCATCTTTAAAAGAAACCCTTATTAGATACTCCTCATACCCATCAACCCTGACAACCATTAGTCTACTTTCTAACCCTATGGGTTTCCCTACTCTCCATTCAATATCAATGGGATCATATAACTCTGGCTTTTGGGCCTGGATTCTCTCATTTAGCACAATGTTTTCGAGGTTCATCTATGTTATAGCAAGTGGTCATTCACACCACAAGATGAATGTAGGAATGCAGCATGTACTTTATCTCTTTCTAGGGTTAAATAATATTCTACTCTGTGGATATACCACTGTTGTTTATCCACCAGCTGATAAAAATCTGGGTTGCTCTCCCCTTTTGGTTATTGTGAATAATGCTGCTATAAACGTGTGTGAACATGGCTTTATATACAAGACTTTTCACAGCTCTTGAGTATATACCTAGGACTGGCGATAATAATGACAGTAGTAATAATGATAATGGCCACTGGTATTTATCTAACACCATGAGCCAGACATTGAGCTCTGGACTTTTATACGTGCTATCGTTTAATCCTTACAACCACCCCAAGAAGTAGGGATTAAAATCCCCATGCTACAGGTCTGGTAATCTGGTTTAGGCTAAGGCTGCAAAGCTAGTTACTTACCAGGTTTTCTTAATTCCAATTCTTCACATCCCCACGGGGGTGACCGTGCCGCACCCTTGCTGAGACATCCCTATGTGGCTTTTCACTGTGTGTGGGATAAAGGACAACCTCTCTAGTAAGAAGGGTGTCTGCTCTTCCGAACTACTAGGCAAGATCTCAGAGGCTCAGCTGGAGCCTCATTCTTTTTTCAATACACTTGGCACTTACTGGGCCCTGCACTCAGGATGATGGGGGACTGGCACAGTCAATGAATAGTTTTCTTTTTTATATTTCTGAACAACTCTGCAGCCACTGATACCCTGGCTACTTTCTCTGAATTCTACAAAACCAGGTTTTCCTCCCACTCCTGTGACTATTTCTTCTGTCTTTTCTATAACCTCCTCTCCACGTCTTTGAGATGAAGGGCTACCTAGAGTTCGAGTCAAGGCACAATTCCACGCTCTAGAAGCTAATGGGGACAAGAGATGACCACACAATAATTCAGGCCGGACGTGGTCAGGGTGCTGGAGGAGGGACAGACAGAGGAACCGAGTTCTGAGGGGCTGGTTCACCTGGCCCGCCTTCCCAGCCCACCCCTGTTCTCTCTGGTGCTCTACAAAGGCTGAGGGGCAGTGCCAGGAAGCCTCTCCCCTTCCCTAAAGCTCCTGGGCCTCAGTGAGAGCTGAGAAAGAGTGAGGGCAGAGCAATGGAACTGCCTCTCCTGTCTTAGGCAGCCTCAAGAGGAGCTCTGTCACTAGACATGGGCTGCAGTGGAAAGGGGATCAGGAAGAGATCTTTGGAAGGGAAAGAAGAGCAAAGAGGAGAGGAGAGAAATGGATAATGAAGAGAGAAAGAAATGGGAGAAAGAAGGGGAGGGGGAGAGAAAAGAGAAGCAGGAGAAAGACAGTGGGAAAAAGAAAAGAGGGTGAGATTAGCTGCTTCAAACAAGTGCTGTCAGTGATCTATATTTGCTTACAGAATGAAAAATGTGCCCCATAAACATTGGCCACTGAGTAATTTCTAGTAGGAGTCATGTCACTTCTTATAAAGGATGGGATGGGGACAGGTAGGACATCTCTCCACCTGGGCCAGCCAGTACAGGGATGTCTTTTAAAGCCGTGCTGGGCATGTCTCCAGCCCAGGAGGTGCTCTGTCAGGCCCCACCCCAGCGGCCACTCCCGAGGAGGAAGCTGGAGCCTCAGGGCATCATGTCTACTCCCACTTCAGGATGGCTGGGGTGGGGGTACCATGGATAATGTCCACCTAATATTAGTGCCTCAGCCCCCACACCCTTGGTCTGATGCTCTGACTTGACTAATTGCTGTAATAATTGATAGAACCTGACTTGTACAACTGATCGATTTCACCTCCAAGACCAACGGCCACAAACCATTACACTCCAATAAATAACCACGTTGGGTCTCACCCGCCTGCCCTCTCTGGGGGCATCAGGATGGCCCGTGCCCTGGCCTGACCTCCCCTTGCCTCCCACCCAGGGCCCCTCCAGGCCGAGCAGCTGGTCTAGAGGGTCAGGCCTCTGGGAGCAAGTGAGAGGGCTGGATGGAGGTGGGGAGTGCTAATCGCAGGCCATCCGTCACCTCCCACTGGCTGTCTGGGGCTGGGGCCAACACCTGGAGCACCCCAGGCAGTATAGTGCAGGACCCCTCCCTCCTCTCCCTGCTCCAGATTAGTGTGTCCCAGCTTATAATATTTGATAAATAGCAGACTGGCTTCCTGGCAGCACTGCTGCGGCTGCGCCGGCCTGCTACAGCTGTGGAAGGTCACTCATTGGGGAAATATGTTTCTGTCAGTGGTATTGAAAAAAGTTTAGTGGAGTGACAGGCCTCAATTTTTCAAATTTTATTAACTCCATCCTCTTAACCATTTGTCTTGAATTCCTTCAGATTCTGGGGGATCTGTCAATAGGGCTTGGGCCAGGAAAGTGGGGGGTGGTGGTCACTGGCTGGTCCCAGTTGGTGCCAGTGGCTGGCCTGGGTTTCATCGTGTGACAGTGGAAATGGTGGTGGCAGCAAAGGCCTGGTCAGTGGGATCCAGGAAACCTACTGCCCTTCTCTGGCACAGCGCCTGCCTTTGGTCTGACATAGTCAGACTTTCTGAGTGGAAAAAGACCTAATGGTGAGCTTTTCCAGTTCGCTCAGACTCCCTTTACTACACCGGAAACAGGTGGTCACCTGGCTTCCCTGAATGTGCCTAGTGCCCAGCCCCAAGCTCTTGGCCTTCTAAGGGGTTTCCCCTACTAAACCTCTCCAACTCCATTCCTACCTGGACCTTTCTGCAAACGCCTGTTCATCTCTGAAGCCTAGTCCAGACTCTCTTTCTCTGCATTCTCACAGGTTCTTCTGCTTCTATCTCACTGCACTGATCACTCTGCATCAAAATAGTTCACCTCCATCCAAGACTGAGAGCTCTTAGAAGTCAGGGACTCTCTGAGCCAATGCTGTACCCACTGCTACCCAGCCCAGAGCCCCACACAGAACAGGTGTTCAGGGGCCTCCCTGGTGGCACTAGCGGTTGAGCACCACACTGTGAAGCTGTCTGCAGCCTCTGCAGCGTGGGTTCGATCCCAGTCAGCAGGAGAGAATCCCACGTGG